TCTTGGTGACCAGTCTGTGCAGAGACACACAGAGAGGGACATAGGATTCCATGAGTGAGAAAAAGTGTTTTCAATGGAATATTCATGATGAATCAAATTAAAGTCAGCATGTTTATTGAGGATATAGCTAAGATTGTTTCTATTTTTTGTCTTTGTGGTCTCAATGAATTGTACACAGAAGGTATTTAATAAATATTTATTGAATTATTGCAAAACACTCTTCTAGGTGCCGGGGGATGTGAAGACAGAGGGAGGGAGAAAGGAAGGAAAGAAGACAGGGAGAGAGAGACAGAGAGAGAGACACACACACAGAGACACAGAGACAGAGAGAGACAGAGAGGGACAGAGAGAGAGAGAGAGAGAGAGAGAGAGAGACACACACACACAGAGACACAGAGACAGAGAGAGACAGAGAAACAGCGACACAGAGAGACACAGATGGGGGGAGAGAGAGAGACAGAGACAGAGAGGGACAGAGAGAGAGACAGAGAGAGAGAGAGAGAGAGAGAGAGAGAGCCTCTTCTTACATTCTGGAGATGATGGTGGTTAAAACATGCGTACAGGTACCTGAATATAAAGACAAAGCAAGATAATTTCAAGCGAGCCAGGACACTAAGAGATGGGGAATAAGTAAAGACTGAGACACCTGAAAGAAGCAGCACGTGAGCTGGATGCCTCCAGTGGAGAACCATTCCACCTCTTTCTCTCTCCAAAGATTCAGCCAACTTTCAGTGCTGCCTAAATACTCCAGCTGCACCCAATCCCTGCTTTGCCTGGATGTGGTCAGAGTCCAGGCTCAGTGGTTGCTCTCGCCTCAGGTGTCCACGCCATTGCCACTGAGATTGGTTTCCCATTTGTTATCTCCCTCCTCTTCATTATCCTCCACTCTAGTTGTAGGATTTAAGACCCGAAGGAACTTTGTTTTCACAGATGTAGAAGAGAGTTTAAAAACCACCCAGATTATAAGCATCAGAGCCAAAATTTGTATTCAGGACTGCCTTCTCCAACTCCCAGCATTTCCCTCCTTACATGTTTGTAATTTCCCTAAGTCACAAACTCCACCTCCCAACATCAGTCACACACGCACACACACACACCCCACTTTCTGACCCCATCAGAATTTTGTGAAGAGCTGTTTTGCCTTACTGGAAAGAGTTGACACGTTTCTTGTTGAAGAGGCCTGGCCTTGAATATCTGAGCAGCACGTTTGGGGAGGCAAATCTCCCCTCTGAATTCTGGTTGCCTCTGTTGGCTCTGGTATTAGTTGCTAGGAGGGAGTGATTTTGTTAACCTCTCTGGCTCAGCTTTCATAAATGCAAAATGGCCATGGAACCCCAACTGGCTGCTGAGAGGTTCATTAGTTAAGATGTATGCCATGCTATGTAAATGCTAATTGCTGTTGCCAGTGCGGGCTGGATTTATCAGTGACTTGGAGTTGAAAAGCTCTGAATGCCTCTATTAGTCTTTGTGCCAGTGAGCTTGAACTTTTGGAGCCCATTTGGCTGATGGAAATGATGGCTTCATGTTCTTTTGTGTTTGGGTGCCATTTCAAGGCTGGGCCTTCCAGTGCCGCTTGAGCAGAATTGGAGGAGCATATTAAACAAAAGCGTATTTCCCAGTGCCCACGATGGGTTCATTTTACCATGCTGTTATTATAGACAGGTCTATTTGCACGATAGCCATCTCCCCATCCTGGTCTTCTGCTGGGCCCAGAGGTGAGTCACATCATTAATTCTGTGTTACATGACACGTCTGCCTCTTGTCATAGATTTTACTTTTATTTGTTCATTGAATAATTTACAAAGCACTGACAGAAGATCCCCAGGTGGCTGCTGGAAAAGCTGTACAATTCACAACACTAATTTCTAATGGGCAAATACGACAAATAGGGATGTCCACACAATACTACAGTACCTACTTACACTTTTATGAATATTAATGCATGCTTATTTAGTCTTCTCCACCAAGGAACTTGACAGAGGTACAGAGATGGTTCATTGAGGCTTCCAGACACTGTGTAGGAGAAGTGGAATTATTTCATGGAGAGTCAAGAGCACTGAAGTTTGAACCAATTACAAGGTGTTTACTCATCCTTTCTCCTGTCCTTAGAAAACTTGGGACAGGAAGCATGCACAACTTTGATACCTGCGTGAGCTGTGAACAAAAGCAGATGTAGACTGGGGTGTGCATAACAAATTTCATGGAGGTATGGCATTGAGTTTGGGGTTCGTTTCCCTCACGGGGAATTTGCTCTTCCCTCTGGCTGCCTAAGTCCCATCCTTCCATCAAGGTCTACCTGAAGTCATCACTTGGGTGAAACCTTCCTTGGTGATTCCAACTCTTTCTCCTCTGAGCTCCTGCAGTCTTTTGAGGCCACCCCATTCATTCTGTCACACATGGTATCGAGTTGGGCTCTCCTCTTTTATGAATGCTAGTCTTACTATCAACTCTGGTCCTGATCATTCTGGCCTCCTGGGCTTTGCCACCTACTTTGCTGCTGTGTGCCCTGGAGACCCATGCATTAAAAGCCATCTTGCTGAACCCGTTCCTCTTTTTGTTGTCTCTTCCTATGAGGATGGGGCTGTTTTGCTTGCTTGTTTGTGTCCGGTGATTAGCACAGTGCATTGCAGTGCTTGTCCTATAGTGAATATTTAGAAAATGGTTTTTCATTTTTCATTGTCATGCATTACATTTATCCATCTTTCCAACTAAATTAGAAGCAACTTGAAAGTAGAATTTTTTTGGGGGGAATCCAACAAAGGAAACACATGAAAAAGGTGTCATGTATCTATGTTGAAGATTCTGCACTAGGCATTAGGGACATAAAGATAGGAGAAGTCATGATGTCTACCACTGAGGAACTTATGCCCTACTGAAGACTGGGGAGAGGAAAGACATGATCACATAGAAGGATGATTGATCCATGATTGTGCTGAGGTCAAGGGAATTACTCAGATGAAGGACTCAGAAAATTCAAGGAGGAAGAGGATACTCTGAGTTGGAAAGGGGAAAGGAGAGGGAGAGAGGAATGAACATTTAAGAAAAAGGTTATTTTTAGTTTTCAGCATTCACTTTTGTAAGAATTTGAGTTCTAAATTTTCCCCTCCCCCCTCCCCAAGACAGCATGCAGTCTTATATAGACTATACATATGCAATCATATTAAACATATTTCCCCATTAGTCATGCTGTGACAGAAGGATCAGAACAAAACGGAAAAGCCACGAGAAAGAAGGAGAAGAAGAACTACCACAAAAGAGCACATCGTCTGCTTCGATCAGCATTCAGACTCCACAGTTCTTTCTCTGGATGTTGATAGCATTTTCCTTCATGAGTCTTTTGGAATTGTCTCAGATCACTGCATTGCTGAGAAGGGCCAAGTCTATCACAGTTGGTCATCCCATAGTGTTGCTGCTACTGTGTGCAGTGTTCTCTTGGTTCTATTCACTTCGCTCAGCATCAGTTCGTGCATGTCTTTCTAGGTTTTTCTGAAATCTGCCTGCTCACCATTTCTTATGGAATATAATATTCCATCACATTCATATGCCACAACTTGTTCAGCCATTCCCAATTGATGGGCATTTCCTCAATTTCCGATTCTTGGCCACCACAGAAAGAGCTGCTATAAATATTTTTGTACATGTGGGTCCTTTTTCCTTTTTTATGATCTCTTTGGCAGACAGACATAGTATTACTGGATCAAAGAGTATGCACAGTTTTATAGCCCTTTGGGCATAGTTCCACATTGGAATGAGCATTTATTAAACACCTACTATGTTACAGGCATTGTGCTAAGCACTTTGCAAATATTTTATTGGACCCTCACAGTACCTCTGGCAAGTAGAAGATAATATTATCCTCATTTTACAGTTGAGAAAACTGAGGCAGAAAGAGATGAAGTCGCTTGGCCAGGGGCAGACAGCTAAGAAGTATCTGAGGCTGCATGTGAATTTCAGTCTTCCTGACTGGAGGTCCAGTGTTCCATCCATGGTCCCACTTAGCTGCCAGATCAGTAAAGGATTCAAGCAAGAGGATCTCCCAGGGATGGGCTTCCATCATGTCCCCCATAGCATATAGTACGATGCTGGACACATATCAGGCCCTCAGTAAACACCAATAGACAGACTGAATGACTGTTTTTCATGATATAGTTGGACCTAGGAGTAGAAAGACCCTGGTTCAAATCCTGCTTTTGACACTTACTGTGTCACCCTCAAACCATTTAATGTGAGCTTCAGTTTCCTCATTTTGCAAATATTTTATTTGTAAAATAGATTATTATTTAATTGCATAATGATACTTTACCATTTTATAATAATAATACTTATTATTATTACATAATTATGCTTATGACTTCTATTTCATGAGGTTTTTGTAAGGATCAAATGAGATAGTATCTGTAAATGGCTTTGAAACTTTAAAACACAGACAGTAAGGGCTTAATAAATGCTTGTTGCCTTCTTGACTTTATGAAGGTCATTTGTTCTTAGCCCTATTCATTTGTTAATATTCCTATTTCAATAAGGATTTTCTAAAAGACATGTCTTGGTGTCCCCCAAGTCTTTTTCTGACTTTTGGAATGGTGGAGGCAACATAAGGAGACATCAGGTTTTACACAGTGGATAAAATGCTGTCCATTGAGCTGGGAAGACCTGAGGTCTCAGGTCTTCATTTAATAGCCTCAGACAGTTACTAGCTGTATGATCCTGGGCAAGTAACTAACCTCTCAGCCTCAGTTTCTTTATCTGTAACCTTAGGGTAATAATAAATAGCAACTACTTTACAGGGTTCTTGGAAGGATGATGTGGTCCAACACGTTTCCTCCGTCACTGTGCTTGCCTTCCACCCCCCCCCAACTCAGCCATGCTACCTGAGGTGGTCCTTTGTGGCTACATCAAGGGGTCAAGAGGATCCCATTTCTCTCCCAACCTGAGGCCCTTCCAATGGCTTACTAGGAGACTATACCAGACCAGGACAACTCTACCTCTCCCTTTCCACTCCGATGACTTTCAGGTCAGGGAAATGCTTTCCCAGAAGTCTCCACTTCACACCTCACCTGCTGGTGATTACCCAGTTCCTACGGCCCATATCCAAGAAAGTCATGCTCCTCTGTGTGTCCATCCCCCTCAACTTTGCTTCAGGCAGTCTCCAATTCTTACCCACATCTCCAGTCACCAGAGCCACGGGCTTGGCAGTGATCGAATTGCTTTATTTCATTTAGGCCTCTCATGTTGGCAGTGAAAATATCTGACTCATTGTGTTAGAATTGTTGCTAAGCTGTCCTGTGTATTCACCCGAAAGACAGTGGAACACAGTAGTGGAAAGAAAGCTGGCCTTAGAGTAAAAAAGACTAGAGGTCAAATCCTGCTTGTTATTCCCTCTGGCTTTGTGACCCCAGGTAAGTCAACTTGTTTGCCTCAGTTTCCTCATCTGTGAAATGAGATAGAGAATGAAATGGCCAACCACTCCAGTATCTCTGCCAAGAAAACCCCAAATGGGGTCACCAAGAATTAGAAACAACAAATGACTGAACAACAAAAATACATGCATATATGTATGTAGACATGTATGTATACATATATAGAAGTATATATATATATATATATACATACATATTATAAATGTATGTATGCACATTGCTTTACAAATATTATCTAATTTTATTCTCACAACAATGTTGAGAGGTAGGGGCTATTATTATCAGTTATTATCCCCATTTTCCAAGATGGGTAGAGAGTGATTTTCCCAAGATCATCTATTTAGTGAGTGTTCATGTCAGAATTTGAACTTGGGTCTTTCTGACTCTAAGTTCAACATCCTATCCATTGTGCAACCTACCTTATTCTAAAAAAAAAAAGCCTTCAACAAAGGGACTTTGACATAAGGTGGCTGTGTCAGTCCATGTCACTGCATGTAGCCTATGAGGGCAAAGTCAATGTATAAAAACTGATTCCCAATGGGCCATGGTGATGTCCATTCTTAACAACTAGACTTTTCATTTTAGGAGCTTGGGTAAAAAGCAAATAAATTAGCTCACATTCTTCAAATACATCAGTCATCATTTTTCTGGCCATGCCTGGCCTCAGAGAAACCTTGAGTCTGTGGTATCTTTCAGCTCTCTCCGTACTGGCCACACCCACAGGCCTTCAGGGAGGAGCTCTCTGCAATAGCACAGCCTGAAGAATAAGCAGATGTAAAATAGACATTTTCTTTAGAAAACAAATAGGAAGTTTTCCCTCTGTCTTTCATGACATAATAATGGCCTTGCTTTTCCCTCCAAATGTCAGGAACTGTGAAATGTTACACTCTTAGTGAATATTTAAGGCCTTTAGTTTATGCATCAGGAATACATTTCAAGTTTTCAATCTTTTGTATACCTTATTTATTTATCTTTTCATGAAAGATTGTGTGACTTGCAGATTTGCCAGGCAGGAGCTGCAGCCCAGGCTGGTCGTGAAGTGGGATGTCTTGGCATGGAATAAATCCCATCTCCCTCTTTCCTCCAGAGCGCTGCGATGACTGGGGCCTGGACACCACGAAGCAGACCCAGGTGTACGAGGGGGAGCCGGCCTACATCCAGTGCCCACTCTTTGAACACTACTTAAAGTTTAACTACAGCACTGCCCACTCAGCTGGCCTAACGCTCATCTGGTATTGGACTGGGCAAGACCAGGACCTGGAGGAGCCTATCAACTTCCGTCTCCCTGACAACCGGATCAGCAAGGAGAAAGAGCTCATTTGGTTCCGGCCCACCCTGCTCAACGACACGGGCAACTACACCTGCATGCTAAGGTGGGGAGCTTGCTAGGACGAGGCTCTCTCTGGATGAGACATAGGGGGCTCAGGAGGGAGGAGATGCACAAGTGAGAAGGAGCCGGTGGGAGCCCTGTCTTGTGGGGTTGGGAGGGGTTGGGTGATGGCATGTGGCCAAGAGCGGGGGACAGAGCTATCCGTGCCTGTACTCTGCCCTGTATTCACAGAGGCAGCACACTATTGGATGGACCAACACACACAGACACACACACACTCACACACACACACACACACACACACACACACACACACACACACACACTTCAATAACCTAAACAAACCCAAACACACACAAACAAAAAACAAGCTGTGCTGGCAACCTGAGGGTGAGATCACGGCCTCCGATTTCCGACTGGCTCCTGTGGCCTCTCTCACAGTTTCACTTCCCCCACTGCCTTGTTCCATGTTTCTCAGCACACTCATGTTTGTCTGTAGCCTTTCCCATGGTGCAAAGGACTTCATTTGGAGTCAGAAGACCTGAGTACAAACCCTGGTGCCAACTCTTACTTACTGTGTGATGTTGGACAAATCATTTAATGTCTCTGATCCTAATTTTCCTTTTCTGTGATATGGGAAGGGAGGGAGGGAGGGAGGAAAGAAGGAGGGAAGGGAGGAAGGGAGGAAGAGAGAGAGGAAGGGAGGGAGGGAGGAAGGGAGGAAAGGGAGAAAGGAGGAAGAAAAGAAGGGAGGGAAGGAGGGAGGAAGGGAGAGAAGTAGAGAGGGAGAGAAGAAACAAAGAAGGAAAGCGGGAGAAGAGAGGAGAAAGGAAACAAGCAATTATTAAGTGCCTACTATGTGTCAAGCACCATGCTAAAGCAACGTTTTAAAGCCAAAACCAATATCTCATTTAATCCTCAAAACAATCTGCAAGGTCTATGCTGTTATTATCCCCATTTTACAAATAAGGAAACTGAAACAGAAGTTAAGTGACTTGCCTAGTGTCACACACCCAGTAAATTCCTGAGTCTTAATTTGACCTCAGGTCTTCCTGATTCCAGGCCCAGCCCTATATCTACTGTGACATCTAACTGCCTAGAGACCCAGCTGCATCTAAAATCATATCTGCTATATTACTCAGGCAAATAGTCATCGATGGTATTAACAGCAGGAAGCCAATTTTTATTTCCTTCCTTCCTTCCTTCCTTCCTTCCTTCCTTCCTTCCTTCCTTCCTTCCTTCCTTCCTTCCTTCCTTCCTTCCTTCCTTTCTGTCTACCTAGCTGCTTACCAGTCTTTCACTAAACCTCTCGATCAAATCAGGGCGCCACATTGTAGGGAGAATATTGATAAGCTGAAAGGTAGCCAGAGAAATGTCACAAAGACGGTGAAAGACTTGGCAGTCCAGCCGCATGAGGGTCCATTGCCAGAACAGCAGTGTTTAATCTGGAACAGCTCAGCAAGAAGATGGTTGCTATCTTTAATGATTGAAAGGTTGTCCAATGAAATACAGGATCAACATATTCGGCTTGGTCCCCAAAGGCCACACGAGAAGTGGTAGAAAGCTGAAAAGAGGCAGATTTATAGTTGATATGAGGAAAAACAACGTTCCAACAGTCTGAGTTATCCAAATGTACTGTGGATTGGCTAAGATGGTAGTGAGCTCCCACTTACTGGAAGGCTTCAAGCAAAAACTAAATGGCCTTTTGACTTTGGGAATTGCTGTTTGCCTGGAGGCTGACTTGGTGCTTTTCTATCTCAGAGACTGAGTAAAGTGTCTTGGTGCATGATTTCCCTGCAGGCCCTGCTGTCTCAGGTGCAGGTAGCGAGTGTCTCGGGCCTTGGCTGCCATGCAGACCCACCTAACAGTTGTCTCCTTTTTTCTCTCTTCTTCAGAAACACAACGTACTGCAGTAAAGTAGCTTTTCCATTGGAAGTCATTCAGAAGGACAGCTGTTTCAAATCAGCAATGAAGGTGCCCACAGAATATATATATCTGCAGCATACTCTGCAGATTGTGAAGTGTCCAAACATAGTGGGATTTTTTCCTCCCAGTGTTAAGCCAAATATCAACTGGTACATGGTAAGCAAACCAATGCTCTTTGTCTACTTTTCCAAACATCATCGTCACGTGCTGTCTCTGGGGTGGCCTGTGAGTGTCATTCGATAAGCAGGCATTGAATGCTTTCTTGGGGTCAGGCACAGGGTTAAGTGCTTCTGGACAAATGGAATTATGGTTATAATACCCTTTGCAAATTTAAAATGATCTATACACATGTATACATATAACAGAGGCAGTGTGGGTTGGTGGGTAGAGCACTGGGCCAAAGTTATGAGGACCTGAGATTCAAATCCACACTCAGGTATTTAATAGCTGTTGGACCCTATACAAGGTGCTCAACGTCTCTCAATAGCAAGTTTATTCTTAGAAAAATGGGGATACCAATAGCACCCACTTGCCCCACAGAAGTCTGAGACTCACACGAGATGAGAAAAGCCAAGTGCTTTAGAAACTTGCTAGATCTGATAGAGTCACAGCACCGGTATGTGTTGTTGCTGTTCTCGCTGTTGTTTTCATATGTTGAGTGGGGAACAAAGTCAAAGAGGCATCATCACGAACGAATGGACTCCTGAGCTCTTCTCAGGGAGAAATGGATTTATTTCATGCCTTTGTCATCCAGCTTTGTGGCCACGGGGAAGTCCTTTAACCTCTCGGAGTCTCAGGCGGCTCTCTCAATTTGATCGCCAGAGTTGCAGACAGGTTAAGATCCACCCTGATAGAGGGTGTTTCCAAACTGACAATAACACACGTTCTTGACTGGTTGGCGTAAGTGATGAAATGCCTTGTCAGCCAAGTGAGGTCATTTCTACCCCCACACAAAGTGAAGCTTAGCAAATGATTTATCTCAGGGATTTTAGGCTAAAGTTAGAAGGAGGGGCTCTAGAGGTGAACTAGGTTAACCCCTTAATTTAAAAGAAAAACACATTGTTGATACCTTTGTTTTTAATATCATTTTCATTCATTATAGAAAAGATTTACAAAAAAAGATTTCAAAAAAAATCAGATAAAACTAACCACATCAAGTGAACAAACATTTATTAAGCACCTACTATGTGCCAAGTGTTGTGCTAACAATCATATCAATCATGTGTGACAATGTATGGAATGTGCCCTATCCATGATCACCCCATCTTGCAAAAGAAAAAAGAAAGTCAGGGTGACTTCTCTCCACTCTTCTCTGGGGCCACTTTGGCCATTTTTAATTAGTCAGGGTTCAGGCTTATGATTTAATTCTTTCAGTTATATTGCTACCATTGTTTATATCTTGTTTTCCTGGTCCTGCTTACTGTAGTGTCTGTCCTATCATGTCTTTCCACGATTCCCTGAATTCTTTGTATTTGTTGTTTTGTGGACCACATTAATGTTCCATTTAGATTTGTTCGTGTGCAATAATTACTAACTACTTCATTTTACATCTGAACAAGCTGAAGGAAAGAAGGAAGGAAGGAAGCAAGGGGGAAGGAAGGGAAGGAAGAGGAAGAAAGCAAGCATTTATTAAATGCCTACTATGTGCCAGGAGCAACTCTAAGTGCTTTTCCAAATAGCTCAATTGATCTGCACAACAATCCTGAGACATAGCTGCTATTATTGTTATTATTTTACAATTGAACAAACTGAGGCACATTGGTTAAGGCACTTTCTCAGAGTTCCCCAGCTAGGAAGTATATTTGCATGCAGGTCTTCTTGACTCCAGGCCCAGCCCTCTTTCCACAGTGGACATAGCTTCTAAACAACCTTAGGTCCCTGGAGCACAGTGCTAGAATAATCCTCACGCAGAAGCAGCCAGATGTTTTGTATTCTTTCATTCTGGTCTTTACTGTCTTCTGCTTTCAATGTCCTCTTTGAGGTGCCCTGTGTATCTAACATGGTGCTAGATTTATCCTACAAACAAACAATTCAGGTACTCAATGAAGACTCTTTGTATCCTCAGTATAAACTATTCCCAGCCCACCCCAGGGTGGGAACCCTAAAATCCCAGAAACTAAAGGCCGTGTATTTAGTCATAGAGAATTACTCTCTAGTGGCCACCTTAAGAATAGACTTCCAATTAATTGACCAAAGTGCTGCCCAGAATTCAGAAAAACTGAGCTCAGAATACCACCAGAAACACAAACTCAGAGAATAACACCTAAAATCTGAGTAATGGCGCATCTGTCATGCATCCTGCAAGAAAAGGGGGAAAACAAAATCAAAGAAAACCAAGTTGCTACAGGAACATCACTTCCCAAATCTGGAAAGGGTGATTGTTAATTTTCTTTGTGCAATTGGCATGTGACTGTTTACAGACTCACATTGACTGGCTGTCTTCCTTAGAATTCAGATTCTTATTTACAAATCCCCAAATTGGCAAATGGAATTAGGTAATTTTGCTATTAGCTCAAATGGCTGGTAAAGGACCAAAATAACCCAAGGGGAAAATATGTCCTCCTGTAGAGAAAAGTGCACTGTATTTGGAGTCAGAGGAGAAGCAGCCTGAAGTAATGACTTTGATACCAATTATTTGTAGGACCTTGGACAAGTTCCTTATTTCACAGCCTTAGTTTTGTCCACTGGCAAAGATGGAAGTCAACTAGCTGGTTTGCAAACTCCATTCTAGCTTAAAGTGCTGTGATCCTATGGTCTAGCAGCCTTTATGGGAGTCCCCTAAATTCTAAACTTCATAAAGAAATAGAACCAGGGCAGACACACTACAGAGAATCGTGATGTTTTTGCACTTTCCACTTTTCCACTTTCCACTTCCAGTTTTCCACTCGGGCCAGGCATCTGACGTTTCTGGGATCCAAAAACCTGCCTAGTTAAGCTCAGAGAAGCTCACCACTTAGTTGGTCACAGGCTGAAGGAATTTTCAGCCTCACTCACTTTTGAGGTAACTAGGAGTCCTGTGCAGAAAGTGCTGGGTTTGAGTTAGGAAGGTCTGAGTTTGAATTCTTCCTCCGACCTCCTTCCCAGTGCTATTGTAAAGATCTTATAAGATGGCATATGTAAAGCCCTTTGCATAAATTAAAGCATTATATAAATGAAAACTATTATTATAATTAGGTATTATTGAGGTTCATTTACTAGATCACAGAGAAGTTTGTGGTCCCCATCTGTGGACGGATTGTCCACACTGACAAAATCATGGATCCTTGAAGGACCTACAGCTCTAAGTCCAGTGTTGTAAGACATGTCTATACTGCTTCCAAAGCCTTGGTTTTGTAGCTATAGCTGAGCCTTTGAAATGCGTAACTGTAATGATATTTTTTTTTTTTTTGCCCTTCCCCTCTGGTCAAAGCCCTTCCATTGTCATGCAAAGAGTAGCTTCTTTGGATGACTTAAATGGTATTATAAGATCATGGCTGTTGCTGCAATGCTCTCCACAATCAATTAGAATGAAACAGAAAGCCCAATGGAAATCAATTTACAGAAGGCAGGTCATCCTCTTGCCTGGTCTGGCCATTAAAAATGGTATATTACCTCCGCCTGTAACTTGTACAGTGAAATTAATCTGACTGGAGGGTGCAATGTTCAGAATCCCCTCCTGCAAAATGGGGACAGCTTTGCCTTTTATGACAATCAGCAAGCCATCAGGATGGCTCTTTGCTGAGAAGGTACTCGACTTTGACCCCTTTTATGGGCAGTGCATATGTTCTTGGGAAATGGGGGCAATTTATTACAAGGTCTCTGGGATAGAATTTCTTTCTTTTTTTTAACTCTTCATTTCAAATTTGTTCCCTCAGCTTTATGATTGAGGTTCATTCTCCCTCTCATCTCACTATGTTCTCTCAATCTAGACAATTTATCCCATTCTCTGGAAGCCATGATAATACAATTTTATGGCAAACTTCAGGATACTCTTTGGGGGTCCAGTCAAGGTTGAGGAAATTACTAATCAGATCAGTGGAAAATTTTCCTCCCTAGCCCCGATGCTGCCCTCAGGAAGGCCTCTCCTAGGGCACACAACAGCACTTACTGCCATGCACTGCTGGCAAGACCACTCCAACAAGGCAGCGACCATCATGGTGTCCCTCAACTGAACCTAAGCATCACCATCATGTTTCTAGTCAGTGAGAAGAACAGGGTCATCTGAATGAGCAGTTTTTTATGTTATTGACATTTAAAGAGGAAAAAAAGAACAGAAACAAATACAGAGAAATAATTGAAAAAAATGTTGCCATAATGAATGGCAGTTGTGCAGAATTAAAAAAAAAAAAAACCTGTGGAAGACTTAAACAAAATAACGCCAAGAGAACAAACAGAGATAAATTTTTTTATCTATATTATATCTATCTATCTATCTATCTTATATGTACTTTGACTGTACAGTTGTTTTAAAGACCTTAAGAAAAGGCAATAAAGCTCAGGGCAAATGTGATGATGACGATGATGATGATGATGATGATGACGATGATGATAAATTTAATAATCAGGGCATCCATAATTATAGATCTCTAGAGTTGGAAGAGGAGCAGCTACGTGGTGCAGTGGATAGAACACAAGGCTGAAAGTCAGGAAGACTTACCTTCTTGAGTTTAATCTGACCTCAGATACGTTACTAGCTGTGTGACCCTGGGCAAGTCACATAGTTCTCTCATCTGCCTCAGTTCTCTCATCTGTAAAAATGAATCAGAGAAGGAAATGGCAAACCACTTCAGTATCTTTGCCAAGAAAACTTCAAACGGGGTCATGAAGAGTCAGAAATGACTGAAGCAGCAAAGAAAGATTTGGAAGGACCTGAGCAAGAATTCCTTTGATAGTGTCCCAACAGGTATTCCCCATCTAGCCTCCAATTGAAAAAAAAAACCCTCAGGTGGAGGGAAACCCCCTCCCCCCACCTCCTGAGTCACTTCCAGGTTTAGTCAGCTTCAATTGTTGGGAAATGTTTCCTTACATTAAATCCTAAATGTGCCTCAGTCTCTTAACTTTCCCCTTTACTCTGCTTTCTGGAGTTAAGCAGAGTAAGATTAATCCCTCTTCCTTATGGCAGCCCTTACAGTATTTCAACGTGACTTTCCGACACTCTCCCACACTCCCAATCTTAT